ATTTATTACTCATAATCACATCAATTGTATTCACACAACTTCGAAACTTTACTTTTATAGCTTCATTTGTCGTGGGGGTAGTAGAATTTTCCAGATATCTAGCTGGACAGGTGTTGAATCATTCCTACTACATGTGTTGATTTGCAGTTGATTCGATAAACGAAGCTTCTGTTATCAATCTCTCTCTCCATTCCGTGACATTAGATTTTAAACTGTCATCCTATCCCATCCAGCCTATTGTATGGTTGTGTGTAATTGCTTGTGGGTTAGGGTCAAGGTTAGGTTAGGGTTAAAATTACAGTGAAACTTTCAGCGAAGATTATGAACACCATCCATTTTAAATGTTGAGCTTTGTGGTTATTGTTATCATGAAATATTATTTATAAAATGGGTCCTAAAACTCTGGGACTCATACAAATTCTACTGAAGGATTTTATGCATATCAAAAACATGGATTACATTAATGCACGTCTATAATCACTCCTACAGGGAAACTGTGACTTCATTTTGCATCATGTATAGAGGCGCATCCAGCGTATAATTCATTTTTACTATATTTATGTATATATATATATACTTTTCTATAGTTGCTTCCATATTAGTTTGTTTATTGGATGTATTGCACAGTCAGTGAAACAGTATCATTTACTGGATGACAAGGTTTTGAACAAAATTTGTTGTTCATAATTATACCACCAATTGTAATCACACGACATCGAAACTTGAGTTTTACAGTTTTCTCTGTCTTTTCCTATTTGTCGTAATAGGGGTAGTAGAATTCTCCAGATATCCTCCTAGACAGGTGTTGAATCATTCCTACTACATGTATTTGCAGTTGATTCGATAAACAAAGCTTCTGTTATCAATCTCTCTCTCTCCATTCCGTGACATTAGATTTTAAACTGTCATCCTATCCCATCCAGCCTATTGTATGGTTGTGTGTAATTGCTTGTGGTGTAGTGCTATGGCTGAACTATTCTCTAGATTTCTTATCTTATTCGGGTCAATCAATCTAGATTTTACTAGGCTTTTATGTTCAGGTAGTCTGACTCACTGACCCTATTCTACTAGTTTGACCTACGTGTTATTTGACCTGACAATCATTGGAGGCAGGGTATTAGATTAGCTTAATTGTTTTGTTTTAAAGGCTCTACAAGATTGATCCATTAACCGACAAAGCTTGTTTCTAATTGACTTTGTTTGGGGGGGGGGTTGTGGTTGAATGCCAGCCACTTTCATTCCTGCCAGCCTTGTTAAGAATTCTGCATAAAGTTGTCGAGGTTCCTTCCTTGTGTGGAATTACTACAGATGATTAAGATTCCTTATTTTTGGTACGAACTTGACTTGTAACCCGAAGATCTTGGATTCTAACTCCTGTGGTGGTGGTAGTGGATGAATAGTGCCAGTGATTCTCAAACTAGCGGAACGAATCAACTGGCTGTGCAGTACTCTTTAGGTAGTCTTCCAGTGGTTGTCTAACTGAAACAAGTAATAATTGGAAAATTTTTGGAAAAACCCGGCAGTAGTTGATTATATGATTCAGCAGTCAGATGGAATATCACTCCAGAAGATTACGATTTATCGATGGTGGTTGGTGGACAGATTCATTTCTTCGTGTTACAAGTGAAACATAGAAAAAATGAGTTCATTTCAAAAGTGGCATATCATTGTGAGTTATCTATCCTATTATATATATATATTTATATTAATATATATATGATCTGATAAGAACTCAATTTCATCACTAAATCTTAGTTTACATATAAGTCTAAATTTCAGTTGATTAAGATGAACTTTCATAAACAGATCGAACTGTTGTATATAATTAACTTCATACTGCCATACAACTAAAGATAAAATGAAGACTACTCATTGTCTGAATTTAAGTAATGTAAAAAAGAGAGAGGAAAATAAGGATTTTGGTGAAAAAGAAAAGCAAAAGGATTATATATAGAACACAATTCAAGTAAGTAAATAAGCATTTTCAGTGTATTCTCATCAAGCTTTACACAATTACTTGATGAAATATGTAAACTTATTACATAAGGACGGAGACCCGGAAGAGAATTTTAAAGTCTCTTCAGGAACAACAAATCGAATGAGAAATGCAAACAAACGGTACGAAAGAAACGTATATATTATATATATATATATATATGGCTTTATTGTTTAAAGGAGATGCAGAAATCGAATTACCGGCTGGCATCAAAACTTCGATACTAAAGGATAAGCTACCAAGTCTGGTGACGTCATCAATGTGTATTTATAAATTTAACCATTCATGTGGAAACATTTACATAGGTACAACATGACTTAGAAAGCTCACTGTCAACCTTCTTGAACATCGTTAAATGTGGTTAGTTAAGTGAAGGCGTAGTACAGTCAATTAAAATTTCCCTATTGGCGTATCTTGTAGGAATACGGAGTACAAGAGTGACAAAATTTCAACTTTTACAATGTTACATAAGGTGCCGCCTCAATTCTCTAGACTGGCACATCTTCGGCTGCTAAGCTACGTTGTAGCAATAGCCATAAAAACATTTTGATGCAGCCTGTGTGTTCAGAAAAGGTTTTTGCAATCTCTCTTCCTCCCTTGTCCTTCACTTCTAACCTACAATAGTTATCTCTCCGGATGACACCAGTTAACTGTATATATTATAATATTATACATTTATTTCATTTGTAATGCTAACCGTATTATCAAAATCATACTGTGCTGTGGCTGTGATTTTAATGTCGGTTTCGCAATTTTTTGTTACTATTCTAAGCTGATATCAGCTAGAGACCCAGCATTGGAGTACTGGACAGGTGTTTCGTCCTAGTTTGTGCCTCCTCATGTGTACACACCTACAGTGCATGGTTCAAACCCATGACTTTCTGGTTATAAGGTGAGCTAGCTCGTAGACCATTCATCAGCCGCTGGGACCCAATCCAATGGCCAGTTCATGAATTCTAACTTCCTCCAAGTCATGACTTAACTGTCCAGTACAACCCTGATGCCAGTTCACGATGAAATCCTTCAAACAATCAATCCTCTCTGACTGGCTGGCTTGACAACTTCATCAGTGCCCTACTCCTGCATTTCACTGAAACTATACTTCCTGGTGGGGTAACTGAAGGCAGGAAGTGCCCTCTGCTAAGTCTCTCCCTTTTATGGTGATTAATACTTGGCGTTGTTGCTGTTGGTTGCTTAGCCGGCTATCTTCATCACCTACATCTTTTCTGTGCTCACCCGTGTGGTCCTCATCTCGCTGCCTCCCTCTTTTGCCAGTGTGTATTGATTTTCCCCTTGCCTGTAAGTCTTCGAATCTGTGTGACATTAAACATAAATCACCCACGCGCGAAATTCAGATATTCTAGAGTCTGCATATCAGTCACTGTAGCGTATTCCTATTCCTAAAAATCGATAATATTACCGTGGGTTATGACAGGCAGTCAGCTTGTCTTACTCCTACATTCACTTTGAACGCCTAAATGAGTTTTCCATTGCGAATCACCTGACAAGTTATGACATTATCATACAGCTGCTGAATGAGATTGACAAAGACTTAGGCACTGCACACCGAAGCAGGTTGAAGCGATTTCCAAATTACTTCTCGGTGAATGCTGTCTGTTGAAGACCTTTTCGAAGTCAATGAAGTTGAAGTAGAGAGAGGTTTGACTGTCGTTCAATGCTTTGTTCTATGATGACTATGATGCGTAGAGTTGCAGCTTGATCAGCACATGATTTGCCTTTCCTGAATCCAGCTTCTTGTGGTCGAAGTCTTGCATTCAGTGCATCTTTTATTCTCTGCAAGATGATATGGCTTAGTATTTTACTTGATGTGGACAAGAGCATTTTCTCCATACCCTGTATTTTATTCCGATTATATAAGGGAATAGTAGTAACCCACAAAATGAAAAATAGCATTTTTATGTCGATGCAATCATACGTCGATAAAAGTTAGGGAATCATTGAAAAACAAGACGTTCTGGACAGATGTTTTCAGACCATTCTTCTTTCTGCTGTGTTGACTTCATCAGAAGTTGAAATCGGGATCTTTATGTTATGTGGTCAGCATGTAACGACTAAGCTACTGAATGGGAGTTTCACTGTCTACTAATTTATTTATTTATTTTTGATTACAGCTTGATTTCACAGTGCATTTTTGGTACAAGTATGGAATTTCCAGCATGGATATCAGTAGCCCAAATTTTTCAGGCCGACTGTAGATATCAGGTGGGCATCGGCAGGGGATCGAACCTCGGACCATGTGCATGGTCGGCGAGAGTCCTAACCATTGTGCCACCGACGCACCTCTATACAATTGCTACTTAGAAGCACCCTTAGTCAAGGTCATTAGTAACTTGGTGGTCTGTAGCAGTCATAAATTTGATTTTATTATATTTTACAAAACGCTGAGTTCAAATAGAACCGCGGAGGTGATGACAGACGCAGTAATCATGAGTATCTATTATCTACTATAAAAGCGTATAGAACGGCTGACGAAAATCTCAACCTTTACTATTTAAGCTAGATAATACCTAAGACGAGACGGAAGTTAACGCTTTATTTTGCGCCAAAATCGTACAATTTAATTAGTCCATCTTCTTTATGGATAAGATTTTACTTTGATAAATCACATCGTGTTGTACAGTAATATTAACTGCCCAGGTTTTATACTTATATGAACCAATAAAATAGTGAGCATTATTCTACATAGGCCAATTCTGATTGGTTTATTTCCAGACTGGATATCGATCACTTATGTAGGCCGATTCTGATTGGTTTATTTCAAGATTAGATATTGATTACTATTTTAGGCGCGAGTTTCTGATGAAATTCACAGTGAAATTAATCGGAATCCCTAAAAATATAACTCATATTAACATTCATGCAAAATGACACTTCGCTTATTGTTAAAAAGACACACAGTCATCAAGCGATAACAGTGATAATAATCATACTGATAATAATGTGACATTTATTTTATATTTTTATATTGTCATGAACAACTTACCTGTCTAGACAGATGGCGACTAAATTGAGAATTGATGCTGTACAAAATAATACATCGAACATAATGAATATATCACAGATAATTGTTCCAAATACCCAATAACCATTGACAACCTAAAAATGTGGATAAATGCAATAAGAAAAAGACAAAAAAAGTGTGAAATGTGAACATGAAGTTTTTACTCATAGAAGAAAAGTAAACAAACTATTTACTGATAAGTGAACACGTAACTAACTAACTAACTAACTAACTTGAGAATGCTATTAACGGTTTTCGTGATATATTAATATGTGTAAAGAGTGAGTTAAGAAAGCCAAGAAACTGTTTGAAAAGACTGGCAATGGAGACAGGACTGAAATTGAGTGCAAAGAAGACGGATGTGATGAAGGCATCAAAGTACCACCACCAATAACAACAACCAGAATCAGTCACCATTAACAGGAGAGATTTAACAAAGGTTACTTCCTTCACAATGGTTAGGACTTTCGCCAACCATGCACATGTTCCAAGGTTCGATCTCCTGCCTACGCCCACCTGATATCTATGGTCGGCCTGAAAAATTTGAGCTACCGATATCCATGCTGAAAATTCCATACTTGTACCAAAAATGCAGTGTGGAATCAAGCTGTAATAAAAGAAAAAATCAAAAAAATCGTTTCAACTACAAGCAGAACGGATGAAGATGTCAAAATCACCCAACCAGCTGGTCGGAGAGGATGGGAAAGGGAAGATACGCCTTCGTCAACCTGAAATTAGTTTAGAAACACCAGTTCTTTTTGCACCGCATGTAACGAAAAGGATTTTCAACAGCCAGTTGCAGAATTTCATTAACAGCTGCCCACTTCACTGACTGGCTGCATATACGAAAGTCAAATGACTAGCCAGAAAGAATTAGTAACAAGAAACTCCCGGGACAAACTAACCAAGAGCCAGTCGCTAAACAAATATGTTGTAGGAGAAAATGAAGATGAATGGGGGATGCATTGAGTAAACCATCGAATGAAATGGCGCTCAATGTATGCCATCACTCGTGGGGAATTCGAATGGGAAGAGACAAGTGGGTGGTAGGTGCAAGGGTTACAAGGAGGAGATCATGTAACTTGTAGGAGATTAGAGATTATAGGCGATTGGGGAGCTACGCAGCTGAAGAGGATGCTAGGAAATAGAAGAAACTGGGGACATGTTGTTGAAGACTTTCATTACAACCAAGAAAGGATTAGATTTAACAAGCATTGAAATCTATTGTCACACCTTTGCCTCCCAAAAAGGAACACAGAAAGGACTTTGAGGCGTTCAGATCTGAAATTCCACCAGCGTTGCAGTCGATAGCCTTTTAATGGAATAACTGTTTGGAAAATCGCACTTGAAAGATGATCTAATCACAATATTTACACTTGTTTCTATGTTTCAATCAACTATGAAATTATGATCCGCTTTCCTTCCAACGTTGGAATGCCATCTGTTGACCAGATCCTTACCGTTTGTCCTTGTTCCTGTTCAATCTCTAATTCCAATGCTCATCTTTGTGCTTGTGTGATGATATTGATAATGTGTGTTGTTTTAAGACGGCGATTATGTTTGTGCGAAAGGTCAAGGTTATTCTAACCTTGGACTATCTGTGAGGGTTATTCTGCGTGAGATTCTTGTGGGCTCAGTCTTGATTCCAGCCTGTCGGGAATATTCTACCTGATTATAACGTGCTTCTTATGGTCAATGTGGTTAGCTAATTTAGTTCTACGGCGACTGCTTTTTACTCGAGTAACTGTTGGGTTTGAACAGCTTCCTAACAAACCTATTTAGGTCATTTTGTGTTTTGATATATATTATGACTTCAGGATTTCACCATGAGTTGACATTAGCTAGAGAATCATTGGAAAACCTCGGAGTACTGGACAGCTGTTTCGTCCTAGTTTGTGACTCTTCAGCAATACGCACCCACCGGGATTCAAACCCAGGACAAGGCCAACTCGTATATCATTAAGCCACTGGGACCCGATCCAATGGTCCTTGAATTCTAACTTCTGCCGATTCCCGGTGGATATGCACTGGTGAAGAGTCCCAAACTAGGACGAAACAGCTGTCCAGTACTCTGAGGTTTTCCAATGATTCTCTAACTAATGTCAGCTCATGATGAAATCCTGAAACCAATCAAATCCCTATAAACCAACAGTTGAATATATTATGACTGTTAAATAATATGGCGGATTTAGCTAACTAACTAACTAACTAACTAACTAACTAACTAACTAACTAAATAACTAACTAACTAACTAACTAACTAACTAACTAACTAACTAACTAACTAACTAACTAACTAACTAACTAACTAACTAACTAACTAACTAACTAACTAACTAACTAACTAACTAACTAACTAACTAACTAACTAACTAACTAACTAACTAACTAACTAACTAACTAACTAACTAACTAACTAACTAACTAACTAACTAACTAACTAACTAACTAACTAACTAACTAACTAACTAACTAACTAACTAACTAACTAACTAACTAACTAACTAACTAACTAACTAACTAACTAACTAACTAACTAACTAACTAACTAACTAACTAACTAACTAACTAACTAACTAACTAACTAACTAACTAACTAACTAACTAACTAACTAACTAACTAACTAACTAACTAACTAACTAACTAACTAACTAACTAACTAACTAACTAACTAACTAACTAACTAACTAACTAACTAACTAACTAACTAACTAACTAACTAACTAACTAACTAACTAACTAACTAACTAACTAACTAACTAACTAACTAACTAACTAACAACTAACTAACTAACTAACTAACTAACTAACTAACTAACTAACTAACTAACTAACTAACTAACTAACTAACTAACTAACTAACTAACTAACTAACTAACTAACTAACTAACTAACTAACTAACTAACTAACTAACTAACTAACTAACTAACTAACTAACTAACTAACTAACTAACTAACTAACTAACTAACTAACTAACTAACTAACTAACTAACTAACTAACTAACTAACTAACTAACTAACTAACTAACTAACTAACTAACTAACTAACTAACTAACTAACTAACTAACTAACTAACTAACTAACTAACTAACCAACTAACTAACTAACTAACTAACTAACTAACTAACTAACTAACTAACTAACTAACTAACTAACTAACTAACTAACTAACTAACTAACTAACTAACTAACTAACTAACTAACTAACTAACTAACTAACTAACTAACTAACTAACTAACTAACTAACTAACTAACTAACTAACTAACTAACTAACTAACTAACTAACTAACTAACTAACTAACTAACTAACTAACTAACTAACTATCTAACCAGCTAACTAACTATCTATCTATCTATCTATCTATCTATAACTATCTAACTAACTAACTAACTAACTAACTAACTAACTAACTAACTAACTAACTAACTAACTAAATAACTAACTAACTAACTAACTAACTAACTGGCTAACGAACTAACTAACTAACCAGCTAACTAACTAACTAACTAACTAACTAACTAACTAACTAACTAACTAACTAACTAACTAACTAACTAACTATCTAACCAGCTAACTAACTATCTATCTATCTATCTATCTATCTATCTAACTATCTAACTAACTAACTAACTAACTAACTAACTAACTAACTAACTAACTAACTAACTAACTAACTAACTAACTAACTAACTGGCTAACGAACTAACTAACTAACCAGCTAACTAACTAACTAACTAACTAACTAACTAACTAACTAACTAACTAACTAACTAACTATCTAACCAGCTAACTAACTATCTATCTATCTATCTATCTATCTAACTATCTAACAAACTAACTAACTAACTAACTAACTAACTAACTAACTAACTAACTAACTAACTAACTAACTGGCTAACGAACTAACTAACTAACCAGCTAACTAACTAACTAACTAACCAACTAACTAACTAACTAACTAACTAACTAACTAACTAACTAACTAACTGGCTAACGAACTAACTAACTAACCAGCTAACTAACTAACTAACTAACTAACTAACTAACTAACTAACTAACTAACTAACTAACTAACTAACTAACTAACTAACTAAATGGCTAACGAACTAACTAACTAACCAGCTAACTAACTAACTAACTAACCAACTAACTAACTAACTAACTAACTAACTAACTAACTAACTATCTAACCAGCTAACTAACTATCTATCTATCTATCTATCTATCTATCCAACTATCTAACTAACTAACTAACTAACTAAATAACTAACTAACTAACTAACTAACTAACTAACCAACTAACTAACTAACTAACTAACTAACTAACTAACTAACTAACTAACTAACTAACTAAACTAACTAACTAACTAACTAACTAACTAACTAACTAACTAACTAACTAACTAACTAACTAACTAACTAACTAACTAACTAACTAACTAACTAACTAACTAACTAACTAACTAACTAACTAACTAACTAACTAACTAAATAACTAACTAACTAACTAACTAACTAACTAACTAACTAACTAACTAACTAACTGACTAACTAACTAACTAACTAACTAACTAACTAACTAACTAACTAACTAACTAACTAACTATCTAACCAGCTAACTAACTATCTATCTATCTATCTATCTATCTATCTAACTATCTAACTAACTAACTAACTAACTAACTAACTAACTAACTAACTAACTAACTAACTAACTGGCTAACGAACTAACTAACTAACTAACTAACTAACTAACTAACTAACTAACTATCTAACCAGCTAACTAACTATCTATCTATCTATCTATCTATCTATCTAACTATCTAACTAACTAACTAACTAACTAACTAAACTAACTAACTAACTGGCGAACGAACTAACTAACTAACCAGCTAACTAACTAACTAACTAACTAACTAACTAACTAACTAACTAACTAACTAACTAACTATCTAACCAGCTAACTAACTATCTATCTATCTATCTATCTATCTATCTAACTATCTAACTAACTAACTAACTAACTAACTAACTAACTAACTAACTGGCTAACGAACTAACTAACTAACCAGCTAACTAACTAACTAA